CTGCTTCTGATTACCTAGATTTTACATTGAACATCAAATGGTGAACCATTGCAGTACAAATATTGTTTATTGTACAAAGAAAAATGCCATACACAACTATTAATATCACATCAGCTGAATGTTTTTATGTGAATTGTTTTATGGTTTATGAGGAATTTGCATTGGATTGGCCTCACAGTCTTTGACATCAGCAACAATAGGTACCGGAAGTGTTTATTTATTTATTTATTTTTTATAAATATATTTCCATATTTATGTGGAAGGTGGAGGTGATGGAAGGACTTCATCTTCCAGTTTAAACTACAGTATATACAGTATATGGTTATATATTTATATAATTAAAAACTATATGCTAAATGCAAATAAATATATATATCCATATATTCTATTTTAAATTACAATATATAAGGATATATATTTATTTGCCTTTAGCATTGTTGCAACTGAGAAGCATGTTTCATGGTTGCCTTTATGCTAAAAGTTGATATTGTGTGTTCACTGTTGTCATCTTCAGATTTGTTTTGTTTACCATGAGACAGCAAGTCAAGATTAACGATGATAGCTTGAGTTGAGTAAATGCACTTGTACATCAGCTATTTATGAAACCTTAGCTCAACATTATAGACCTGCCACTCTCTCTCTCTCGCTCTCTCTCTCTCGTGTAAGTGCTATGTATGTCTTTCTGCTGGTCGTCAGCCAAGTAAATGGCCTTGTTTATCCAGTTACTCTATTCAATTAAGTTCAGAAGCCACAGAAGGAATTTCCAACGATAGACTGTATAAAAACATGGACGTAGTGTCCGTGACGTCACCCGTAGGTTTCTGAAGAGCGTTTTCGAAGCTCAAAGTGGGCGGAGCCGGTTGCCACCATCTTGGCAGCGCGTCACTCCCGGATAATCGAAAATGGGCAAAGAGACGGGGATGTGGGTGGAGCTAGTTGCTGAAACCACGCCCACCTAGCTCGACAGTAGTAACAGCAGCGTCAATCCACCTGTCACTCAAGAGGCCACGCCCTTAATTATGCAGAACTTTAAGGCTTAATATAATTTAAACGGATGAGTTATAAAAAAAAAATCACCTCCATCACAGTTGTCATGAAGGGCAAAATAGCTATATAGACCAAAACCACTTTTTGTACCAGGCTGTAAACATATTTTTTTCTGCTGTTAAGTTGGGCATTTTAACATGGCGGGGTCTATGGGACTGACTCCCTTTTGGAGCCAGCCTCTAGCGGCCAGTCGATGAATTGCAGTTTTAGTCACTTCCGTGTTGGTTTCACGAGAGAGACCGGAAGGTTGCTGCTTGTTCCCAACAGACTGATTTCATCCATTTCTGTCTCAGAAATCTTTTTCTCATTTCTGTTTTCTGAATTTGCCTTCAGAAATCATTCAAATATGCTGATTTGCTGCTCAAGAAACATTTCCTATTATCAGTATTAAAAACAGTATTGTGCTGCTTTTTTTTTTTTTGTGGAAACCTTGCAACATATTCTTCTGGATTTTTTAATGAATAGAAAAATTAAAATAACAGCATTTATTTTGAATAGTTATTTTTTATAACATGTTATTCTGTCACTTTTGATTAACAGCATCCTTGCTGAATAATAATCACCCGTTCTTTAAAAAAAAAAAAATCGTATTGACCCCAAACATTTGAACGGTAGTGTATATACAGTTTTGACAGATACCACAACAATATAGTAGAGTAATATCGTAAAGTAATATCGGCAGATAACCTACGTGGTCCTTGTGTATTATGCATACCTAGTAATGAGACTTTAAATTGATATTAATTTGGTATATTCATTGTATTGATGATGTCATGTATTGATGAAAATCTCAAACTTTGTTTGGGCACTGAGAAGTTGTTTAGACAAATACAGACATTCATGAGGAAGATGGTAAATTCATCCACTCTTTTACATCATTCCATGTGTTTGTCAACTTGTGCTCTTTCCACTCATCTTTTCTCAGAATCGTCATTTTCACATTTTGGTGATTAAATGTCATGAGAAAAACAATATGTGGGGGCTAGTGTGGCAGTGCGGGTCATGGCGATGAGGCCAACAGTAAACACAGGCTGCTGTAACAGATGGAGGCGACAGCACTCTGTGAATACTGCCACTCTGTACAGATTACTGCGGTGACAACAGTACACTGCTTCAGACACACGCTGGGCTGGACATTCTCAAGTGGCCATCAGAGACATTTCAATCTGATATTTTCTCTGAAATGGTTTGCGAAAGACACACAATGGGAAAACTGAGTACACGCAACGTTAGCCAGATGCTAGCTCTCTTTCTTTTGCAATGAAAGTAGTGACAGCTCTTTTCTTCCATATGTTGAGGTACATTCAAATTAAATAGATTAATGAAAAAGAAAAATTTAGGAGGACCCGTTGGTTGTTGATTGGAAGCAGGCAGATCTGAATGTACGCTTGCAGACGATTGTGAAAATGGTGGGGTTTATTTGGACAATCAATTAAATGATTGGAGAAGTCCGACATCTGTCACCAGAGAGAAGTGTGACATTTTCACCTGGAACATTGAGTTAGGGACATTTTGATTAAGAATTACGAGTTGAATAAAAAAAGAAAAAAGGGATGTCTCACTAAAGGAGGTCTCATTTCAGAAGCAATTAAAAATGTGTGAAGAACACCTCACTTGATCCTTTTCCGTTCTCACACTTTCTCTTTTCAAGTTTTTGTCTTTTGTAATTTTCTGTCACTATCTTAAGGTACGGTGGCACTTTGGCTTTAGACACTGTATCATCTCACTCCGCTCTGTGGGATGGATGGATTAGTGAATGGTTGCTGGGTAGAACAGGAGGCAAGAGGCAGGAATGTGTTAATTATGAATGGAGCTTCTCTTGTGGCTTACTAGAGTCTCATTGGAGAAACACTGTGTTTGTATGCATGTGTGCCCTTCTGAGTGTGTGTGTGTGTGTGTGTGTGTGTGTGCGTGTGTTGGCATGCATGCATGTTTAACTCGTTGCGCCCATGCAGAAAATTTGTGTTAGTGAACAAATTACTGTTATCGCAAAATGGCAATGGATAATAGACACAAGAGTCAAAGGCACGTCAATGCTATATGTTTGTTCCATATATGTAGCCTACTATATGCATCTATATATTTGATTCATTGTTTTTGGTCTTTTTGTTTGGTCTGATTTTTTTTTACAGTTACAATTATATGCACTTTAACAGAATTCATTTGTGTGTATACAATATATAGTGATTGTATGCAAATCATTCCGCGCTAACTAGCTAACAAAGCTAAAGCTGCATAGGAAAGAAAAATCACAAATGAGATCTCTTAAATCTCAGTTGTTCCCCATAGACAGCAATGAGATTAAATGGAGAAGAAATTAAGAGTTCAGATGCAAAAGCCTCTAAGTGCCGTCTGAATTTTTTATCAGGCTGCTATATTTAGGTTCAGTAATTTCACTTTAATGGCAATGTATAGGTCCTTTTCTATGCCATTAAAGTGAAATAACTGAACAAAAATATAGGAGCCTGATAAAAATGCTAAAATTTAGATGAAAATTTCAGATGGCACTTAGAGGATTTTGCATCTGAAGTCTTCAAATGTAGAATTGTGATCTCACATGTCTCCTCTAGAGTGTCAAATGATCTCAACAATGTCTCAAACTATGCTCATGTTTGTCAAGACACTAACATCTGCAATAAAAGTCAGAAATTTCTATAAAAACTCAAATGTGTCTCATCAAATTCTTCCAATGTGAGCTATGGTATTAACATGCAATGTATAATCCTCTACTCTCAGTTGTGTACAATTAAATTCAAGCCTCACTTTGGTCTTTTTTTTATCTCTCGTCAGAAATTGTATAGCAGAAAGAGCTGTGACAATGTGGACACTTAAGAAACATAAATTAGATCCAAATTAGTGTCTTAAAAGAGCAATGAAAGTAATAAAAGTACTTACAGTTACCTCTGGGTGTTATATGTAACATAAATTCAGGTTAAAGAGATTATACAGAATAAATACCAGTAAGATATAAATATGTGTATATCATTATCCATACATAGTAAAAAATAGTTTGGTCTTCAACCCAATGTTTAAGGCACATTACCTTTTGAGGGTCAGGGTTGTTGTTTTTTTTAGGGTGTGTGCCTCTTTGACATGGGCCTAGGCCAACTCTATAAGGCTTAGATTACTGAATCTGGCTGAAACGCAGTCCCTAGTTTGGAGACCTGAGATCTGAGGTCAGCACAGACCAGGATTTAATGCTGGAATGTAAATTTTCATTGACCTGTGAATAAGATGAAAGTAATGCTCAGAAGAGATGGGTAAATCACCCCCTGCAGCAATTCTGGTGATAAGGAAGCATACAGTTTTAATGTTTATTATAATTACAAATTTAAACATGACATTGAGATAGTTTGCCAGTCAAATTTTCACAGTCTTATGAGATACACAGTGTTTTTAGATTGTAATAAATAATCAGTTGTTTCTTATATTGAAGGTCATGGTACAGTTAAATCTAAAGAGCTGGTGCGGTTCCAGGCAACACTTACAGACTTCTCAGTTCAACAATTCAGTTTGACATGTAAACACTTCAAGAAATAATAGCTGTCCGGGCCACCTTCTTTGGAAGAAAGCACACTGCCTCTTATAAATACTGGGGTCAGGATTTTCCAAAGTTTTTTTTCCCCAACCTGCTACTAAAAATAGCCTAATTTACACTGTGGTTACAGGTTACATGCACACTTCAGGGAGTCTTTTAAATTAAAACCACTTTATTTGGACTGAAGCAAGTACAAATTACTGATCCATGTTAATAATTAATATTTGAATGACTAGAGGTTGTACACGTGATGGTCTTTAAAACGCTAGTGATTAAAGTTCAGCTTACAACATTCTGAGCTGCAGCCGTTGTTTTTACCATGCTGGTTTGGGTCATTGAACTGTACACATAGTGTTTCCTATGTGTAATTTCAGTGATGTTCTGACAGTTTTTTCGCCATTTGTGTCTCCTGTAGGTGCTACCAGAGACATCGGATCAGCTCTGACCCGCATGTGTATGAGGCATCGCAGCATTGAGGCTAAACTACGCCATTTTACTAAGTACGACCACACTTCTCCTGTCATCTACTTCCTGTGTGTCATAGTTTAGAAGCTTAAATATAACACAAATACATGTATGCATATGATTATACTCAACACAAGAATTTTGTATGTGTTTTATTTGTTTGACACTGAGCTATGGCATGTGCACAAATGTGACCATCACAACACCACTATAATCGAAGACTCACTCTCAGAGTCTGATGACACTGGCAAGACAAGAGAACACAAATACACACACTTTTCACACTTCATTAAAGGACATCTGCTGACAATTCCCTCCGACAGTCTAATGAATGGATGCCTTAGACGCTAAGCCACACTTTAAACCAAAGCCTTCATTTCTCATGGTCTGAACCCCCACAGGGTTGATGATATTTCCTTGTGAATGTTCATATTGCTTTGTAATTGAATGAGAACCTCTGACTCAGCTGTGAACAGTTGAGAACATGATCCTCTCTTCATTGCTTTCAGTGCTTTGATGGAGAGCCTGATCACTCCTCTACAGGACCGTATTGAAGACTGGAAGAAGACAGCCAATCAACTAGACAAGGACCATGCCAAAGGTGACTAAGCACCTTCTTGTCCATATGTCAGTCCTTACAAAGTAAACAGCATACAAATTTTCGGTTACTCTTTATTTTATAGTACATGTACTTACAGTGTACTTACCTATGAAAGTACTGGTTAGTATACGGTATAGCTACATGGGTTAAGGTTAGGTTTAGGGGTAGGTTCAGAGTTAGTACCTAGTTATAACCCAGTTATTGCTATTAATAAGTACATAGTATGTACACACGGAACATAAAGTGCTACAAAATTTGGTAACACTTTACTTGAAGGGGTGTGCATAAGACTGACATGACACCTTCATAATCATGACATGACATCTACATAATCATGACATGACACATGTCATGAATATGAAGGGTTTTTTATGCATGTTTACGACAACTGTCATTAAGTGTCATTCGCTCAGTTATGTAATTTTTAATGCAAATATGACATTATTTGACCTAACCCTACCCCTACCCTTACCCCTAACCATAGCCCATAACAAAGACATCTCAAACAATGTCATCTTTGCATTAAAAATTACATAACTGAGCATATGACACTCAGTGACAGTTGTCATAAACATGCATAAAACCTCCTTCATATTCATGACGTGTGTCAAGTCATGATTATGAAGGTGTCATGTCAGTCTTATGCACACCCCTTCAAGTAAAGTGTAACCCAAAATTTTCATACATTTCGTTTTTTACAGAGTACAAACGGTCTCGTCATGAAATAAAGAAGAAATCTTCAGACACCTTGAAATTACAGAAGAAAGCCAGGAAAGGTAACACAATATATTCACAATATTACTATGAAATGGTAAGCATCACAACAAATTTGGGCAATTTATTCTGTGAAATAGGATCACAAACAACACATGTGTGACCCTGGACCACAAAACCAGTCTTAAGTCGCGGGGGTATATTTGTAGCAATGGCAAAAAAAACAACATTTTATGGGTCAAAATTATCGATTAATGAACCCATTATTTATGGGTTAAAATAATATTTATATTATTATATTTTTCTTTTATGTCAGAAATCATTAGGACATTAAGTAAAGATCATGTTCCATGAAGATATTTTGTACATTTCCTACCATAAATATATCAAAACTTTATTTTTGATTAGTAATATGCATTGCTAAGAACTTCATTTGGTTCACAACTTTAAAGGCGATTTTCTCAGTATTTAGATTTTTTTTCCAAGATTCTCCAGATTTTCAAATAGTTGTATCTCGGCCAAATATTACCCTATCCTAACAAGCCATACATCAATGGAAAGCTTATTTAATCAACTGTCAGATCATGTATAAATCTAAATTTGAAAAAAATGACCTTTATGACTGGTTTTGTGGTCCAATGTCACATATACTAGCATAGAAGTGTTTTAATGTCAGTGAAAGTAATGGATCAATATTACATAACATTGTCGTATTACAAAGCAGAAATGGGTTTGGGATAAGTCAAGGACATTTCCTCAAGGTCAAAACTGGCTGTTTTATTTGACGTTTAGAACAATCTGCTGTTCGTATGTCATCAGTGTTGAATGCGTTTTAGTGGTTCTCATGGTCGTCAATGGATGGTTGAATCTCGAAGTGTTGTTAAAGCTGCATAGACTGTTGAGTGCACAATGTGCTTGGTGAAATTACTGATCCCTTCATATGAGGCAAACAATCCTCTGCTATGTAAGCAACCCCCTCTGCTGGCTGAAGCGCAGAAGTGCAACTCTCACCTCATTTGCTAAGCAGTTCATGTTCATATCCCAGCAGCCAATAATTCCTGCTTTTGAAGATAGGATGACAATCCTGTGTGTTACTAGGAAGACTCCAGTGTTAAAGGAAAAGCAACCTATTTATTTTGTTAAGTCAGGCATCTCGTTCCTTATAAGACCATTCAGTTTGATAAGATTACATATTTGATTTTATTTTGGGTCCATTGTGCATTAAATCTTACATTTTCGGCTGATTTTTGAATTTGGTTTTGTTCAGATTTGCTGTGGTGGTTTGGCTTTTCTGAAACAATTTGGCCATGAAATGAGCTGAATTGCTTTCTAATACTAACCCTAACACAGTGCTCTCCCTCCTCTGTTTCTCTGTATCTCTCTATTCTTTACTCTCTCTTGGATTCCGCCCACATTGTGTTCTCTCTCTTTTTTATCTACTCTCATAGAGCTACAGGGTAAGTATGTTTTTTTTCACGCCAATCTGTGGCTCACTTTGATTCTTCTCACTCGTCACTCTGCATGGCCCTTTAACCCGGCCTCAACCTGAAAAAGACCCAAACACGTCTGCAGATAGTTCTGTGGTCATTGGATTTAACCCCCACATGACATTTTGGCTTGACAGCTTACGAGTGATTTAAGATCACAGCCTTTCTCTTTTCTTCCATTATAACACCTGAGGTTTTGCTTTGTGCATGATTTTGCTGATGCCGTCCCAGCATGCATGCTGCTTGTATTCCTGGAAGCAGTTCTACTGCGGATAGCTGACTTTGCTTCAATTATCAGCAAAGGTCACGACCATTTCTAACAATCTAGTCTGCATGAGTTAACCTTTAAACTTCCCCTGGGAGGTTCCATGTGTTTCATTAAGAGTAGAAGATGTTCAACCGCAGAGTTCAGAGTCGTCTGTCTACGTTTGTTGTGTAGGTGCTAGTCGGAATAGTTTGTTTTGTCCTGTGTTCACCTTACATCCATATTGTTGGAGGCTGGAAGAGAGAATGATTCTCATCTAATGCAGTATCTTCTCTTGTGTTCTGCCTCCTTTCATTATTTTCATGAAATTTTTTTTCTTTTTTTTTTTCTTCTGATTGTCTTTTGTAATCTTCTAATTCTTCCATTCAACCTTCTGTTTTGTCTCATTCTTTGGCCATTTTTTTCCATTCTGTCCATTCTCCACCTTATTTCATCCCTCTGCCTTTTCCCCCTTCTTTTCTGTTATGCTCTCTGTCGCCCCCTTTAGGCCGGGGGGACCTTCAGCCACAGCTGGACAGCGCAATGCATGATGTGAATGACATGTACCTGCTGATGGAGGAGACAGAGAAGCAGGCGGTGCGGCGTGCTCTAGTGGAGGAGAGAGGACGCTTTTGTACCTTCATCAGCTTCCTGCAGCCTGTAGTGGTACAGCCCACCTCATTCAACATCACTTATGTGAACTGTACAGCGGCTCAGCCCTTACACATTACTCTGTAACAAGGACACCAGTTAAAGTGTAAATTAAGTCTCTTATGCCCAGCAAGGCTGCATTTATTTGATCAAAAACACAGCAAAAACAGCAACATTGTGAAATTTCATTCAAATTTAAAATAACTGTTTGTATTTCTATTAATATATTTTATTTGTGACCCTGGACCACAAAACCAGTGAGATATATGATATACATATAAATAAGCTTTCCATTGATGTGTGGTTTGTTAGGATAGGACAATATTTGGCCAAGATACAACTATCATGTTCTTCATGGAACATGATCTTTACTTAAAGGGGTCATATGATGTGATTTCAATATTTCCTTTCTCTTTGGAGTGTTACAAGCTCTTGGTGCATAAAGAAGATCTGTAAAGTTGCAAAGACTAAAGTCTCAAATCCAAAGAGATATTCTTTATAAAAGTTAAGAGTCAGCCACGCCTACCTAAAATGGCTCGTTCTAACACGCCCCCACATATCTACCTCACTATGTGGGAAGATTTGCATAACGCCGCCCAAATGTTCACGCAAAGACAGAAGGCGTAACTTTGATTCTCGCTGTAGTATTGTTGTTTCCGCTGCCACCATGTCGTAAAGACGCTGTGTGCTTCATTGTGAAAGCGAAACTACTTAGTTTGGTCTTCTAAAAGAGGACGATATTTGCTTCGTCATGCCTGGAGCTGATCCGTGCTGGTTGCTGAGGAAATACAACAACTTTGTGCTGTGGATCACCAGATTGGCTTTCACCGTGGACGAAGCGGAGTCCAGCCAGGGGTCATCACATGTTGTTGCCGCAAGCCCTCAGGATGCTCCTTCTTCGAATCTTGCGCCTCTGCTCACTCTAGCCCTCCGGCCGTTCCTCACTCTAGCCCCCAGCCTCTGCTCACTCTAGGCCGCCGTGTGTAACGCTGTGTTTCGTTGTGAAAGCGAAACTACTTTGTTTGGCCTTCCAAAA